GGCTTTTACCTCCTTTTGGATTGACTCCTTATTAGAGAAAGCTGACTGGACCTGTGTGTCTGAGGAGACCATGAATATGGATGATAAATTTCTCTTTCTCTCTGCAGCACGTGCAAGCCCCATGAATCAAACCAGTTAGATCATTGCCCTTACCTGCCACCTGTAGTTTGAAGGCAAGCTTTTCAGTCCCAGCCTCACAGATGTACTCTCCAGCATCCTTCTTTTCCACACTGTCGATCACAAGCTGGCGATTCTTGCCCTTTGACTCAGTATGGATTGTCTTGGTGGAAGTCAGCAGCTTGCCATCCTTGTACCACTTCACCTCTGTCTTGGTATCGACCACCTCACAGCTCAGCGTGGCTTTCTGGGAAAGCGTGGCTTTAACCTCCTTCTGAATAGACTCCTTGTTGACGAAAGCTGACTGGGAATCTGAGGGTAACACAAGTAAGAAGAGCAGTGCTGTCATAAGCTTTAAAATCACAGATGATTGGAATAATTTAGAGGCAAAATATGAAACACACACTTAGTGCTTGATAGGATGATATGATAAATCTAAATTTATATTTTTGGCACTTCAAGATAGTGGATGGTTTAGATGATTAAATGTACACCATGAGCATTACTATGAATTTTATACATTTATAAAGATTAAAAATCTTTAGATATAAATGAATCAACCAGGCTGTCCCACCTGTGACAAATATCTTGAAGACTAGTTTGTCCCCTCCAGCTTCACAGGTATACTCTCCAGCATCACTCTTCTCCGCCTTTTCAATCACCAGCTGGCGAGTGTTGCCTTTTGCTTCTGAGTATATGGTCCTACTGGATATCAACAGCTTGCCATCTTTGTACCATTTCACCTCTGTCTTGCTATCTGACACATTACAAGTAAGAGTTGCTTTTTGGGAGAGAGTGGCCTTCACTTCCTTTTGGACTGACTCTTTGTTGGAGAAGGCAGCTACAGCTGGAGTTTCTGTGAGGAAAAAAGAAGTTTCTGTGCCATCAAATACTCCCAAATCAACATAAAAAAAAACCCCAGACTTGTGCCATCATGCAGCGTTACCTTTTATCTTAACCTGGAATGTGATTTTGTCAGCTGCTGTCTCACACGAATAATGTCCTTCATCAATCTTCTTGGCACTCTTGATAATGAGTTTCCTTTGAGTCCCTTTGGAGATGATGGTAGTTCTTTGGTCCTCAGTGATCTCCATTTGATCTTTTCTCCACACAACAGCAGCACTAGCAGATGAAACCTCACAGCTCAGCTCAAGATCTCCTTTGAGAGTCGATGACATTCCCATGGTACCTCTGGCTTTGTTTAGAAATTTGGCAGGTTCATCTTAGGGGGGAGAAAGCAATAGAAAGTTACAATGTGACTTATGTGTAATAATAAAATTAAATATCTTTTTTTAAAGTTTGTTTGGATTGTTAACGCAGGAGCTCATGTTTAGGAAGAGGGTTGGCCACGGCCCAACCACTTCCAACAACAGGGCCAGCCTGAGAAGTAGTTTCTTCTCAGGATTTATTTTCAATTAATTTAAAATAAACATTTAAATAAACAAAAAGGCTAAACATGTTTTCCTTTCCTTTCTAATAAAGTAAAAGGAAGCAGTTATTAAATTATCATACGTGAATTCCAGCCAATAGCAGCCACTTTACATTGACCCGTTAAATATAAGAAAGCACATCACAGGTCAGAGGGTTGATCAGCAGAGGATGAAGAAACTTTCTTTAACTTTACTTTGAATTGTATAATGCTGTGGGTCCATATCATGTGACATGTGGATGATGTTCTTGTGTTTTTATGAGATATTTACATTAGAAAAAACTCATCTAAAACATGTCACCTGTAATTAATGGATGTTTTTTTTCTTGCATTTAAATTTTTTAGTCTTTCACATTTTTATGGGTTTTTTTTGTTTTGTTTTGTTTTTTTAATGGCAGGAATACTCGGGTAATGGGTTAGTGGGAGGATGAAGTCACTTAATGTGGAAATTCATTTACAGTTAAAAACAGAAAAATAAACAGAGAGCATACTTGACTTAGTTAACGGACCATTTCTGCCCGTTTTATTTTGTCCTTGAAAGCACGGGCAGTTTCTTTTGAGACAAGCTAATGAATCTGTTTGATGCCTCAAAGATAAAAGCAATCAGAGCAGCTCACATTCCAGTAAATCATTTGAGGTGTTTTGCACCCTGGACCTAGTTCCTATTACAAAAATCATCTCTGGAAAATCCTAATTGTGATTTGAAGCAATAAATGATGTAAAGTTAGCTGCAATTTTTACATATACCTTTAAGAGTGAGTTGCATGGACGTCTTGTCATCAGGTAACACACAATCATAAATGCCCACATCTTCCTCAGTGACGTTGTGTATCATCAGGATCCTCTTGCGGTCATTAATCACATATTCATACTTTTTGCCCATTTTTAGCTCCCGTCCGTTCTTCGTCCAAACCACCTGAAGAAAGAAATACAGAAATGCTTTCCAAATTAAACAAGTTAGGATCACACAAACACATACATGTGCTATTAATGTTAACTGGAATTACTCAAACACAAAAGTGTCTCATTTGCAGATTATTCAGAAAAGGGTGCCCCAAGGGTGTAGCATGGGAGGACAAAAAACAAGGCGGTCACAGGAAATTTGAGTATTTAATGAAAAGTGAAAAGTTGTGTTACACAAGAGTTAAAACAGAATTTTGTGTTAGGTAAAATGAAAAAAATATATACAGTAAAAGTTATAATCCTATTAAGTAACTTAATAGTGCACAAGTTGTATAGTCAAAATATAATTTGAGGTACCTAAAGTAAGCATATTACTCATGTCAAATTTGAATCAAAAATATTGTAGAGTAGAAGCAGGAAGTAACACTACACAGAAGTGCTTAAATTAAAATACAAGTACATTAAACCAGTACTTAAGTAAATTACTCAAGTAAAGCTCTTTGTGTTTGTCAGGTCAATTCAATTTTATTTATACAGCGCCATATCACAACAACAGCCACCTCAAAGAGCTTTATATTGTAAGGTAGACCCTACAATAATAATATGTAGACGTATAATTAGGATAATTAAATATCCTATTGACACATCTACAAAGCTCTTTCAAAAAGACGTTAAATGTTATATTAAAACAGCTGTTTTAATAGAGTCTGTAAAGGCAAAAACTAAAACAAATTATTTACATATTTCTATCACTAACCTGTGCGTCATAATCTGACACCTCAACAGTCAGCTGAGCAGTGGCTTGGGCACTGCAGGTCACCACCTCTAGATGATCGGATTTGTTGGTGAACCTAACAGAAGGGGCTGAAAACAACGTGGCACTGTAAGAGGGTATTACTGATTGGAAGAAGAAAAAAAACACAAAAAAAAGACACAAATTAATAGGACTGAGGTAATTTCTCTAGTGTGTACCTTTCACATTGAGGATGCAACTGCTTTGTGAGCCTCCACCCACAAACTTAACTTCCGTTCCGTTCATTTCCATGGTCACAACTCGGATGAGCAATGTGTGTATGTTTTTTGACCTGGTGATGAGGTAGTCGGCTCCACTGCGCAAAAGGCGTCCGTTTAGGGACCAGAAGCCTGAGCAAACAGCAGACAGCTCAACAGAGATGGAGAATTCCTCACCGGAGACTCCAGTGCTGTTAATCAGACCTTTTCTGATTTCTGCAGTGGGTTCTACAAAGAGGCCCGCAAACAGGATTTTAAGAAGGAAGAACCAAAACCAAACATAGACATAAATGACAACAATCACAGAGAATTCAGTCTTACCAAGGTAGAAGGTTCCAGGTACCTCCAGGTAGGCACTCTGCCCAAAGTCATTAATGGCAGAGATACGGAACTGGTAGCTAGCTTCTTCAGTGAAGTTGCAGATTGTAAACTCTGTTGCGACAATGGTTTCTTCAGCATTGCACCTCTGCCACATTTGGGTACCAACCTTCCTTCGCTCTACAACGTAGCCTTTGATGGGGACAGGGCGGTCACTGTCAGGAGGAGACCACTGAATGGTGATGGAGGACTCTGTTTTGTTCTGCACCACAGCGTCAACTGGGGGATCGGGAGGATGCTTCCGGGCAGCTAGAGAAAAATATTGTGATGTTATTTAGTTGAAGTACTAGTTTCAGTTCTTCTTTGTATTTAATATATGCTGATATTTGACCTAACAACAAGAAATATATCGAGATACACTGTTTTGTATAATTCAATAAATGTTTGGTTCATTGTTGTACCAAAGGGTCCTGTCACCCTCCCCTCATCCCCAAATGATTGCAGCAGATGGCTGGAGTTTTTCCTTCCCACTGTTGCCAAGTGTTTAGTCATAGGGGGTTGTCTGATTGTTGGGTTTTCTCTCTAATATTGTAGGATCTTTACCTTACAATACAAATCGCCTTGAGGCAACTGTTGAAATGATTTTGCACTATATAAATAAAATAAATTGAATTTAAATCAATCGCCACAAAATATTTTGTATATATTTACTACAGATATCATCAGAATGTATCAAACAACATTTAACCCACCAGAAACTGAGAATCGGGTGGATGTCTTGCAGTCTCCAGCCACAAACGCCACTTCTCCAGAGTCCTCTGCCTGGCAATCTCTAATTGTGAGTGTGTACTGTCTAAGCACGCAGCCGATGGAAATACGTGAATCCTCTTTTAACTTCTCGCCATTGCGAGTCCAGTAGGCGTCTGGATAGGGATGTTCCAGCTCCACGCAGAAGATGACAGTGTCGCTAACAGGAACTACTGTCCTCCGAGGAAGCTTCTTAGTTATGTTACCTGAGATATAAGAAGAAACTGATTTGAGATGAAGAAAACAGAACTGAAAACTGCATTTTTCACATAGACATAGCAGTAAATAATGGTCCAATGTAGTAAACGTTCACAGACCAGGTCATGTCGCATTAAGTATCCACATGAGATGCATGTAATATTTACATTAAACCCATATAGACAATTGTAATTACACTTGATAAGTGCACAAACAATGAAGAAGAACATTGGAAAGAAAAAGAGTCTCTACCGTACCCAGGACTGTGAGCTCAGCCACAGTGCGACTGCCCTCTTTCATCTCACATATATACACTCCATCGTCGTTGGTGGTAACGTTGTGTATGGTGAGGCGACGGAGGGTGCCGTCCTGCTCCATGCGATATTTAGCATTTTGCTGCAGTCGCGTTTCCTCCATGAACCAGTTGGTATAGGTGGAACTAAGAGGCACCTCACACATGAGTGTGGCTGAGGTTTTTTCCTGCACCTCCACATCCTGCAGCTTTCTCCTGAATGGCACCTTGGGTTCTGGCACAAGGAAATATGACAGAATCTTTAACCAAAGCTGAACTACATCACACTTTCAACTTCTACATTTATTTACCCACATATTCAAATATATGTCAGGCTAATGAAATATCAATAAAGTGAGAGAAACTAGAAAATTTAAATTCAGGAATCAAGTGTAGAAAATCTGATTTAAGAAGTGAAATAAGTTCAACCTGAGCACTCAGTATAGCCAAATAAAATATTTAACATTTGCATTCATGTTTTCCAATATGTTTCCTAAACTGTGCTCTCCAAAGACTAAGTGAGTTAATTTCATCTTGCCATGCTGGATATTTTTGCTTCAAGCATGGTTGTAATAGCATCCAAACAGGCACTGCAAAGATTCAAATACAGGATGGCTTCCAAAGCAAACATAAGATTACTTTTTATCACCAGAAGTAGCAATAAACTCCAAATCCAAGGGGCAGGTTACACCATGGACAGTCTGTCACATTTATAGAATACAAAAGGTGCACTGATAGGAATGGGATCCTTTCTGTCAACATCTCTTATTCATCTCATATTCTTGTTCTTGTTCCAATCCACTGCCTTTATGTGTGAATTTTGCATGTTCTTCCCTTGCCTGTGTGGGTTCTCTCTCGGACACTCCGGCTTCCTCTCAAAGTTCAGAGTCATTCATTTTAAGTTAACTGGTGATTCTTGGTGTGAATGTAAGTGTGAATAGCTTTCTTTTTCTGTATGTTAGCCCTGTGGTAGACTGGCAACCTGTCTAGGGTGTATCCAGCTTATCCACCTGTTGACAGCTGTGGTAGACTCCAGCTTAACTTCAACCCTGAACCCTAAACTGGACAAGTACTAAAGAAAATGGATGAGTATTAGCAAACTACTTCTCCAGTGCATATGTAAAGAATGGTATATAAAGACTATCACGCAGTTCATGTGCTGGATACTGTATTTGCCATTACACTACCATTTATTTTCTAGCCACATATAATAAAACTTCTTTCCATTTCAAAGCTTTCTGCAAAACTCCAGAAAAGTACCAAATTGCCGGGTAAATATCACACAAAGAACCAATTTTCCTGCACTTTGAATTCAGCTGGTACATCGGCAGCTTGGCACTCGACATCGGACTGACTGGAAATTAATATCTGAAATAAAATCTGCAACTATACAGCTTCATATCCTGGACCAACATCTTCCCGAGGGAAGTCACATCAGCAGTGTGCCAAAGTGATCTACGGAGTGAGTGACCATCTTAGCAACTGTGAACTACTCATCGCCAGCAGAAAATAGCTGCAACACAACACCTTACTTCAGGAGATGAGCCAGAATTCAGTCTTGTTGTTAAAAGGCAAACAACAACACCCAGAAGATTCAGAAGAGTAATTACAGTTCCCAGTAAGCACTGCTCTCAGTTTGTAACTATTAAAATATACAAGTGAGTCACACTGCAGCATGGGGGACACGATATTTAAGTACAACGGATGCTGCAGATTATAGATACACCATGACAGTGTTATAAACAGTGTAATAAATTAATATGCAGCTCAAAATATCCTCATCAAAAAAACCATTTACTTCTCCTAGAAAAGGATTCATGACTTCTAAACTATTAAATATGTACATAAGTATGAGCTTCTTATAAACATTTGTATCTTCAGAGGGTTATGTTCTTTGACCTGAGTACTACAGAGAGAAATTGTGTTGAGATTTGTTAGCATTATCAAAAAAAATAAGGTAAAGCCAGCCTTAATATTAACCCTGCATACCTATTAGAAGTATGTAAACATATCTTTACTAAAATCTTACTTCAGGAGGATTTTCTTAACTGCGACTGCTCAAAAATGGTAATAGCTTACCTTTGACTGTTACTAACACAGCGCTGTAGGTCTGCCCAGCCATATTGGTTGCATTGCAGGTGTAGAGGCCATTATCGGTCTGCTTGCAGTACAGGATTTTCAGGATGAAGTTCTCAGCTTGGTCCTCATAAATGACATGTCTGCGGCCCTCGCTGATGTTCGTTCCATCCTTCCTCCAGATAATGTGGGGTTTGGGGTGACCGGTCACAAAGCAGCTGAGTTTGGCATGTTTCCCCTCAGTCACAGTGCAGGTACGAGTGAATACACCTTTGGGAAGCTTCGCAAGGGCAGATGCTCGCAGCTCATGTTCCAGGCCCAGAGAACTGAAAGCATCCGTGATTTTGGCCGTGGAGGAGGAAGAAATGGAGGCGCTGCTTTCTTCATTGCGGTAGATGGAGATCTCCTCTTTGCGCTTCTGTAGGTGAGAGAGAAGGGAGCTGCTCTTATCGACAGCTTGGCGGTGGGAATCCTGAGCATCTACAACGAGGGCAGCCGCAGCTTGCGCGCGGCCGACAGTGTTCTGGGCCCTGCAGGTGTAAGTGCCGCTGTCCAGGTTTCGTACGCACTGGATCTTTAAAGTGCTGCCATCGCTCTCAGAAATGATCTTGATGCGGTTGGTCTCCCCCAGGTAGCGCCCATCCTTTTCCCATTCAAAGTTGGCCTCAGGGTAAGCTGCAACTCGGCCGTGGAAAACAACATCACCGCCCAAAACAACACGTGCAGAGGCAGGCTTCACCATGAAAACAGGGGCCTTCTGAGACATCTCTGTCGGCAGCCCCACTTTGAGGGTTACAGCGGCGTAAGCTTCACCGACGCTGTTCTTAGCTCTGCACATGTACTGTCCACTGTCCTCCAGAGTTAAGTCATAGATGGTCAGGCGATAAACGTCTCCATCTTCCACAGTCTTGAAGCGGCCTCCGGACGTCAGCTTCAGCTTGTCTTTTTCCCAGGTTATCAGTGGAGTTGGGCTGCCCACAATTGTGCAGCTGAGTGTGGCATCCTTGCCCACACACACTGAAAATGCCTTTGGGCGAGTGAGAAACCTGGGGGCCCCTCCAAACAAGTTTTGATCCATCGTTTGTTCCTGTGATCAAACAAAGGGCAAATATTACACATCTTATAAGTCTTATAAATATCTTGAAACAGTTATTGAGTCCAAACTCAACTTTGAAGCAACATGTGTGCAAAAAATCTCCACACTGATAAAACCATTTGTTTCATCCTGCTTTTTTAGTCTATTTTATCCTTTTTATTTGGTGTCACGGTGTTGATTTCTGCCTCTCTCTCAGAATGTATCTTTTGTCCTTTCGCCCTACCCTCATCCTAACCCTGACCCCAATCAGTCATGGCAGATGGCTGCCCCTCCCTGAGCCTGATTCTGCCAGAGGCTTCTTCCTGTTAAGAGGGAGTTTTTCCTTCCCACTGTCACCAAATGCTTGCTCATAGGGAGGCATCTGATTGTTGGGGTTTTCTCTCTATTACTGTAAAGTCTTTACAGTATAAAGCACTTTGAGATGACTGTTGCTGTGATTTGGTGCTATGTATATAAAATTGAATTGAACTGATATTTATCTGTGAAGGACAGAAAGGGCAGATTGGTGAGCCACGGCTGAGCTCAGCATCACTGTACACCACAACTATAGTGTCTACTGCACAATTTGCTCCCTTTGCATAGTGACTTTGAGCTTCTCGTCCCAAAGTGCAAAACAATACGGTTTACAAAACAACTTTGTTCCAGCAGCCATTACTCAGATTAACCGAGCATAGCGTTGCTATCCTACATGATGCCGAGTGAATTCTCTGTAATTATAGTATAATTATTTCTTCAGTATTTTTTATTAAGCTTATATATTTTCTGTGTTTGCACTGACAATGTGTGCATGGATGGAAGATGGATGACTCTCTACTGCAGACCAAATCTACCCATGGGTACAAATAAAGTAACTGAAACAATAAAAAGATTAAATAAATAAATACAAAACTGATTTTATACATGTACAACTTTAATAACTTTGATTACAAACACCAATATTCAACTGCAAGTATAAATAAACCAGGAAGTACAAATGTAAAAATTACAAAACTATATCAAGAAAAATAAATACATTTTCTATTATTTCCTGTAGATCATATTCCTCCACAAACACCTGTCAACTTTACACAAACCCATTGTAAAATCTGGCATTCTGCTATGTGTTCTCTAAAATATGTTAAGCTATGAAAATAGACATAAATCCAGAGTTAGGGTGGCATATTTATAGCTGACAGTTACAGTAGCTATATATCAGTCAACGTATCCTTGCCCTGCCTCAGCGGACATTCATCAATACAAAGACCTATTCAAAGGGAAAGAAGCTAAATAGCAAACAAATTCCCTCACAACAAGGTCAGAAAGAGCGCTTATGTGCCTTTCAAACAGTGACATTTACCAGCTTTGTCACCTCTGCCGCTTTAACTGCCTGTCCCAAAAATAACCTCAGCTGTCAGACTCCGTCTCTGTCCATTGCCATTTGTAGAAGCGAAAGGGACATCAGCTGTTTGATAAAGCTCCCACTTCACAAACATACTTCATTTCTAGCACTGTCCGTTTTCTACCAGCTGAGGAAAACTCGTAAAAAAGTCACTGGAATTTAACGAACGACTTCTGGCTAGTAAAAAAGCACGAAAAAAATTCGGCAAAGGAGCTTGTGTTTACTTAAATATAACAGAAACTTCAGCTGGATGATGCGGTTAGCTAATGAACTCATATCAGCCCCTGTAATAGTCACAGGTGAAAAATGACAGTTAGCTACCTCTTTGAGCTGCACCTAAGCTCAAATTAACCAACAAAAAAAAAGGAAAATAAATTCTAACTTCGACCAAGTTCCCATGTAAACTTTACTGTAAGAAAATGAGTTAACTGTTGTGTTACTGCTTCTTCACCTTGAGTCCTTAACCGCTCAGGAAATTCAGGCGCTGAATCATGTGGGCCAAACAATCAATAGCCCGTCAGGATTTCCGGATGATGGCCCTCTCCAACAGCGTTCAGGGGCTCCACATGGGGGGCAAGAAAAAGTCTTCTTTGACCTCAAATATATTTCAAAATGGTTGTAAATCCAAGATAGTGAAACATCCCCCCCGTCTCCTGCAGTGGGCGGTTGAGCAGACTTACTTTTTCTTTCTTCTCTGGTGCCTCATGATGCCACATAGCTGACGTGCCTATTTTGGCGCAGCCTCCTTTCCAAAATAGACCTGTCATTTGGAGATAGGAGATAGCCTGATGGTGGCTTCGGAAAGGAGAGCAGGCTGGCCTGGCCTGGCCTCTGCTGGGTTGCTGCTGCTGCAGGCTGGAGACGACAATACGGACACAAGTCATAAACAACTCATACTAGGTGTAAATGTGCCGCGTGTGGACGCGTCAAGCACTAGCAGTTTATTGAGTTTCAGTTCAATTCAGGTTTAGTTATATATCAGTCGCCTCAAGGCGCTTAATATTATAAGTTAAAGACCCAACAATAATACAGAGAAACACCAACAATCAGATGACCCACCCAATGAGCAAGCACCTTGGCGACAGCGGGAAGGAAAAACTCCCTTTTAATAGTTAGAAACCTCTGGCAGACAGGGGCGCCACCAAGGGAGAGCCGTGCCCCCCCATCACTTTATATATCCCTCACACTTCCCATCGTCACACGCTGCACCCATGCACTGTTCATGTTTTTTGGGGGGTTTGCCACCCCAAGATTTTAGTGCCCCCCCTATAGTCAAGCCTATAAACAAATTCTGGTTCTGCCCCTGCCAGCAGAATCAGGCTCGTGTAAATTAGCCCGCAAAAAAGTTTTTTTTTTTTACCACACAAGTTTAAACACCTATTAACTACTTCTGTTTTAATATCATTTTAACTGTATTCAAAACCTGTCAATTGTCCCTCCAATGTAAAGGAGGGCATATATTTTGGACTTACTGTATTTTCATGGTTTTAGAGATTTTAGTACTCCGAAACAAAAACTTCCCCCATCATATTACACCAAAGTAATGAAGTAACAGATAGAGTTTTATTCTTTTAAGTAATTAAATAACTTACTCTTTTTTGTACTTTTAAATCCAAAATCTGCTTCTTTTTTCTCCTATTAAGATATCTCAAGGATTGATAGTTCAGTTAAACTTCTTTATCCTGACAGAAAGATGAGTTTCCTTTAAGATTTTTCACTTAAGAGTACATTGAATGTAAAATGAGTTTGATTTATGTCCTGTACTTGGATTGTCAAGGTAATTGAGCCCCCATTTTGGGTGGCATGCCTGGTTTTAAATTCACAGGCAGGGTATAATTCTGAAAACTATGTACCGTAGGGGATTATTCATGATTTGAAGACTTAACAGCGCTGCAAACAAAACAGAACCTCCACTTCTTCGCTTGTTGTTGTTCACTTGTTTCAGACTTTCTTAGATGTGCAAATCTGAGATGCTCAAATCAATCTCTTGCCACCTCTGTCTCCACTTAATGAAAGTTTGCCTCAGCTTACAACAGCTCAAGATGTGCCAGGTTAAATGTGAAGGTAATTAACACCAAGACATCATTAGATACTGCATCACAAATCCAGTCCCTGTCATCATATTACCAGTAACAGAATCTGGCCTGCACTCTGATATCATTGAACATTTTCAGTGGTGACAAAGGCGCAAACAGCTTCCTCATTCTTCTGCTTATTTATAGAATTAAACCCCGCCTCTGATCTCTGAACAAAAACATAAATCTATCAGTCTGCCTCTCTTGATAGTTCATTCATTTGCAGTAGTTGTAGTGAATAATAAATCCACTTAATCTGCTTATGATTAGGCTGAGAGGTTGACTGAGCTTGCAGCAGACTGTTTTCCACAACATCCACTGTGACAGCTGCTGTCCCCAGCTCATCAGGCCCAGAATGAAGTTATGACTTCATATTGTCCATATTGTGGAAAGGCCTAGAATGCAGTAATACTTTAAATGTATCCTTAGTGAAGTATTCACTGTGATTAAATCACTTGATAAAGCATGGCAGGTTGCAGTGCACGTTTTTAATATAGACTCTCAATTTCCTTTTAGTAAAAAATAATCTACTTAAAGTGACTAAAGCTAGTGTTAACCCTTTTGTCCCCAAACTTTGGCTTCCATGTTATTTTCTTACTCTTCCAGTGCGGGCTTTCCCCCCAGTGCCAGTGACTGACAGCAGCAGGTAGCCTGGACCCTGATTTAAACTCCCAGAAACTCTAGCAGACGGTAATCCACTGTTGCTGCTTTCCTCTGCTTCATCCTCTCCTGGCCACTGTGTTTAGTTTCCATACTCTAACTAGAGATCTCCTGACCCAGTATGAACCTTCCAAATCCCTCAGGTCATCTGGATCCGGTCTTTTATCAGTCCCCAGAGTCAGAACCAGACACGGAGAAGCTGCATTCAGCTTTTATGCTCCTTATATCTGGAACAAACTCCCAGAAAGCCTCAGATCTGCTGAAACACTCAGTTTATTTAAATCCAGGTTGAAGACTCACTTATTCTCAGCTGCATTTGAATAAAGCACCAAATCCACACTTTTAAGCTTAAATTTCAAAACTTACATTTTAACTACTGATTTTATCTACTGTTCTGATTTTATCTGTTTTGATTTTATATACTGTTTTGTTTGTTTGTTAATTAGTTAGTTAGTTTGCTTGTTTTAATCAATTTTAAATCATGCTTTTTATTTGTTTTTGTTTCTAATGTCTCTGTAAAGCACTTTGAATCACCTTGTTGTTGAATTGTGCTATACAAATAAACCTGCCTTGCCTAGAGTATGTGTACTGAGGAAGAAAATAGTTTAGATAATGCTATCCTCTGTGTTGGCATGAAATACGTCTAAACCTTCTACTGCGCTACTGTGTCACAAATTAGCACAGGCTAGGTTCCTTGATTTCAAATCACTTAATATACCAAAACAACACCACAACATATTTCTGCAACTTTTTGGTAAATGTTTAAAACTCACTTGCAGACAGTAACCACCCTCTCGTAGCACCTGCCAACAGCCTGGCTATAATTTAGCAACCTAAAGATTAAACACCAAGTAAAACATGTCTTTGTAATGAGACTTTTTTTTGCTAAATGGAAGCAATGTATACTCTCCAGTCCGGTCTCCGTGGCCTTCCACTTGACCTCACAGCCATTTCGAGAATAAGGTCATAGCTGTATCATGTTCACAGCTTGAAACACATGGGTGTTACCTTAAGAACAGTTACATGGCAGATGACAAGTGAGACAAATTTTAGTTCTACCAAAGATTAAGATTACTAAGACTGAACAGCAGATGGCAGGCATGTCCTCTCCAGAATACTCAAGGGGCTTGGACAACATTAAAAACAAGCAATAAGGTGGGCAGGATCAAGTAGGCGTAAGCTTCATCCTACCCCCTTTTGAAGCATGTAAATTGTATGGTAGAGCAATTCCTTTTTTTTGTATCCAATATATATTTTTTATATTACTTATATGTTTGAAATAAAACAATTAAATAAAAAATAAGACAAACTAGCAAAAAAGAAGCACATGATATTTATTTACAGTCTTGATAGTATTTACAGTATTATAGCAAGCACAGGACAATAGTGGGAACACATGGCAGTGAGGTGCTGTTAAAGAAAACAACTCACCTTAATTATTCCATACAAAAAGTCCTGATTTACAAAAAAAAAAGATCAACAGGTTACCCTAACACTGGCACTGAACTCTTCTAGAAATGAGGGTCACTGAATGTGATTTATGCAGCTCTTGATGCTGTATGATGTAACATGACGTTTAATCAATGGACCATGTATATGTGCTATTCCTTCATAAGTTCCAACAAGACTGTGAGCAGAATCAACTGGTTAGAAAGAGTCATAGAGCAAGTCAGAGGGGAGAAAGAGACAAAGGACAAAAGCACGGAAAACATATATATGACAGTAGTAACAAAATGTGAATAAGTCTGTATAAAACCTTTGTATTCATTCAGAAGCTGTTCACTAAATACTTTCTTTTTTATTGTTATATAGATTTAGGTGTTATAGTTCAAACTTCTGGGCATCTATCTATCCATCTATAATGTCTCTTGTCTACAGTTATTATTTAACCAAACAAATGGAAAACACAGTAGACTCCTTTGGTTGGAAAATGTGAGGGTAAAGAATCTAGTCGTTTAAATATTTAAGTTTTTACAAGTTAAGTTAAAAACTACTTCCAAGCAACAGCAAAAACAAAAACAAAGAAAATTAAACTTTATTCTTTTTTATTTTAAATAAACATTACATAATCAACCACACACAGAACGATTAAATACACTCAAAATTAGATGTATTTGCCTCTCTACTCAGTCTCTGAAAACAACACGTACTGTAAAGCTGTGCTGAAAACAAGTTCTTTTGGCATGTTTCATATTTCAGCTAATGCTGCTCAATATACAGAACAAAAACATACAGACAAACTTTTGTAACCACAAAAAAAGAAGAAAAAAAATTCACCATTTCAGGATGAAAACATAGCACCTTGTCCCAGTCACTGTGATCCTTCGACTGGTCTATATAGTGGAGAAACCATAGTATGATCAGGTGGTTTGCCATAATGGCACTGCCAATTACATGGGATGCTCCCGCTTCTTCAGGATGTTAAAGACAGCGCAGTCCCATGACAAAAGAAGTGCACTGTCAGATACAACAGACTGACCTGTCAGCTAACAAGACACATCCACAGTTTCACTATATGCACTCGATGCTATACACAATGGCATGGAAATCAAAAATACTGTACATCCTATGTGCTGGTAAATATGTGAAAGCAAATTTGTTGGTTAACATGAGACGGCTTCTAAAAAGAGCAAATGCTAATCCTTATTACCAAGGCACTGCTTATAATAAAACGACTAACATTAGACACTACCATGGCGTGTAAATGTGGAGACTATCAAAACTCTGTGTTCAAAGCTGAGCTCCAGTGTCTCTACAACACAAACTCATCTCATATGGAAAAAACACCACAAATGAACTGCGACCACAAGAAATGCATGAAAGCACATTTAAGGCCGTGTGAGGGAAACAGACATTTACTGACCAGTGGCAGAAGAAAAAACAAAAAACAAAGAAAAAAAAAACCCCAGCAAAAAAACATTATGTGCTTGGCCACAGTGTTTCCTTATAGTCTGCTGAGGACAAATGACAACACAACACAGGCT